GCTGCGTGGCGGGGCGCCGGGCGGCCTCGTGCGCAGGCTGCTCTCCTGCTGCCCTATCCCATAGGCTCTCCCGTCCCGTAGGGAAAGGGGAGGCGCCGCSTGGGCCCATGGCGGGTCTGGGATCTGCCTAACTCCCTGGCAGCCCCCTTAGCGTGCTAACGGCTGGGTGCTGCAGGCCCGTGGGGAAGCCCCAGCCGCCTGCCYCTGTGTAGCAGCAGGGTGACACCCCTTTTGTGTCTAGCATTACTGCTGGAGGTGTAATGGATGTTAACACCGCCCTGCAAGAAGTGCTGAAGACCGCACTCATCCATGATGGCCTCGCTCGTGGGATTCGGGAAGCAGCCAAAGCCCTGGACAAGTAAGTGGTGTTTTCTYTCAGTGGGCAGAGAGCAGCAAAGCTGGGAAAAGTAGGTTATTGCATGCACGGTGCTTACCATGACTAGATACTTAGTGGAGGAGTTYTGGTTTGGAACATTACACTTTGTTCTAAGAGATGAGATCAGTGTTTTGCTATTAGTATTTTGAGGCCTTTAATTATGATCATAAAATGTAGATGATGAATTAGATGATGCATAAATAAGAGTCTCCAACATATTAAACTTTTCTTATGATCCTGCAACGATATGTGGGTTGGGTGTTGTGAAGAAGATGGTAGTGTACGCCTAGGGAAATTTGTCAGGTTGTCAGGAATCTTGTAGTGATGCTGCTTAATGAAATGATAAAAGCTTGTAAAATATTTGAAGGACTTGACTGGAAGAGTTAATACATATGTCTAAAATACTTGAATCTAAAGCTTTTTTTTTCCTAATGAAAATCTCGAAGTCAGTATGATCTGCTTTTATTTTTGCTAGCTTCACTTTTTTGGGTTGAAATTGTAAGGAATTTTAAGAATTGTTTGGAGATACCATGTGAAAGCAGTGTTTAAACTTGCTCTACTTGTGCCAGCAATACCATGCAAATACAGTCTCTGGTAATGTGAGGTGGTGTAGGCAAATGCTTTTAAGAACAGACCCCACTTTTAAATGCAAAGCTACAGTGTTTGAATGATGACTTTCTATTTTGTCGGATACCCCTTCACTCCTCCTATGAGTGATAATAGTGGTCTGACAAACCTGTACATTAAATGTTCCTAGATAAATTGCCAAAGAAAAGAGGAGGGAAGGGAAATGGAATCCAACTGATCAGAAAATAGTTTCTAAGAAATTTTTTGAGAAAGACCCAACATTGCGTAGTGTGCTATTGGAGTTGCTTTATGTGCAGGTTTTCTGTAAGTTTGTGTGTGACCATTTTTGTTTGGAAGCTGTTTATGAAATGATCTGGTGAAATTGGTGATGAAAGAACCATTTAGGAGAACTGAATTTGTTTACAGTGGTCAAATTGTATCAAGTTAAACATAGAAGACCTATACAGCTCTCTYTGTTGTCAGGTACCCCTTTGATATTCTTAACATTGTACTGCAGTGTACAGAGAGCCTAATTAGAATTGGGGCCCTGTCATAACAGCTTCTTTGGACGTAAGTAGAAGAGATTGTTCTGAAGAACTTAAAAACAGTTTGACATAATTCTAGCTTTTAATAATTCAGTTCTAACCTTGAATTAATGTGATCTTTGAGCAACTTTTAAATAGGTTGCTTTGTAATAGCAGTTAAAAAAAAAAAAACAGTTGTTTGTAGGACCTGGTGTTTATGTGGTCAGTACACCGTTTTTTCAGAAGACTGAGGAGTTACTCAGTGGGATTTTAAGACACTTTCAGAATGAATAGATTCTGATAATAAAGCTTAACAGCATCTCTAATTAATGTAGGATGTATATAAAATGCTTAAGTAGATTATATCAAAAGTAWATTTAGTATTTCAAAAGTCCATAAAGTGTATCAAAAGCAAAAATTAAAGCTGTTATATACAAACATGCACTGATTCTTATGTTTTTGGTTTTGATTACTAAAGAGAAACTTAGCCTTTGAAGTTGYATTTGACAGTTTTTGCCTCTCTTTTTTAGACGCCAAGCCCATCTCTGTGTTCTGGCCTCAAATTGTGATGAGCCTATGTACGTAAAGTTAGTTGAAGCACTTTGTGCAGAACACCAGATTAACCTAATAAAGGTGAGTATCAGAATTTCACATGAAGTTTAGAAAAATTGTTCACAATCTGTTACTTGCCTCACTTCAGAGAGCTGACTCCCTGAAGCACTGGGCTGCAATTGCCCRTATGGCAATTGCAATATATGGCCCATATGTTCTGTGCAGTCATGTCATCAGTACAAGAAACTTACATTGCAATCTATCCTTAAATAAAATGCATAATTAAATCCATAATGCATAATTAATATCCATAGGAGCTGTRCAATGATGATATTTTGGCTCCCTCTACTGACACTAGTGAGGAAAGCAGCCATACGTTACCCAATGTTTCTGAGAGTACAGCAGCTTATTTTGCTCAACCAGGTTATGTTATGGATGTCCAGTCCTAATGCAGTTCTGTGCCTCTCACAGGTTGATGACAACAAAAAACTGGGCGAATGGGTGGGTCTCTGCAAGATCGACAGAGAAGGAAAACCTCGCAAGGTGGTGGGCTGCAGCTGTGTGGTTGTCAAAGTAAGATAGTGCTCATTCTAGCTTGTCCTGACTTCTGAAAGCAAGTGGTGAAAACGTAGTGAGAGATGTTTTTAATGCAAACTATGGCCTAGAGTTCTTGGGGCTTAAAATGGTTGTTCTCCCTTGTTGGTAATGAAAGCAAAAAATACTRCTTATTTTCTGTTCAGTACTTTTGTGAAAAATGTTTATTTGAAATTGTATCAATTTTGTAGATGAATATTACAGTCCTTAAAGTAGATAGGCTAACTTGCTAGTCAGTAGTAAATAAGATTGTGGTTTTATTACTGGAAGAGAGGAGGTTCTCCTTGACAAATATAAGTGCCAGTTATTTACATCTGCTTAACCTGACAATGTTTTGCAGAGCGTGTTTTAAGATAATACTGGCAAAGTAAAGCCACAGTACGAGCCTTGCAGACTTTGTTGTCTTTGAGGTCCCAACAGATGGCTACATCTTCCAAATAAACATTAATGATCTCTGAATGTATTTTAATATTTTTGGTAATCCTTTCATAAAAGAATATATTACATTTGAGTGAGTAGCCCTTTTTTAGGGAATTAAGTAGTAGTAGCTGGGAAATGTGATTCTGTTTGTTACCAGGGATATACCCCTGGGAGAGGGCTGTATTTAGGAATGCCTTCAGAAAAATCCTGTCAGAAAATGTCAGTTGTCTTTTCAAACACAGATTATAAATGTTTGAATGGATCTGTATGATACTTTTTTTATATTACAGGACTATGGCAAGGAATCTCAGGCCAAAGATGTCATYGAAGAGTACTTCAAGTGCAAGAAATGAATTGAGAAATAAATATTGAGCCTGATGTTGTGTGTGTGTGTGTTTGATAGGTGGGTAACTGTGCAACAAAACCTTGAATTGCAAGAGTAGTAAGTTGAAAGGAGTTTTTTTTAGGTCTGGAGTTCTTCTGTGCTGTCCGCTTCCTGAGAARGTAATGGTGTGTCTCTGCAATTCCTAAAATTTTGCTGTTTCCCTCTTCCTATCCAAAGACTAACAGTGGAAGTCTGCACAGCTTTGGAAACGTGGAAGTGCTGGAGTGCCTTTGCTTGCCCCTGGCAGGGCAGTGTTCAGGTTACACTGYTTCAGTGATTTCCAGGTAACATGTTGGGGAAATCTGAAGTACTGCTGCATCTGTGATGAGAATTTGGCTCCCTCTACYGAAACAAGTGAGGAAAACTGCCTGAATCGTTACCCAAATCTTCTGAGATGCTGCAGTAATTCCTTAAATGCTGAGRATTTATGACTGTGGATTTTCTTCACTCATGTTTGCATATTTTTCACCTTTTCTGCAAAGTGGAGCAGCTGGAGCGGTAAGGAGTTCTTCAATCCTGATAAATGGGACACAGGTTATGAAGAACAGGGGCTGGGACCCTGCAAGCTGAGGAGTTAGGAATACGCATCAGGCCCTAGAGCTCCGATTTTATTCATGTTTATGTAACCCCTCTACTGAGACCCCTGATCACACATGTATTGGTATGGGGGGGTGGGCTCTTGCCCAGGGATTGGGGGCAGTTCCCTACAGCTCTCAGATATTTGACCCTGTGACTCCCATCTAGAAAGTGCTCACCAGGACTGACGTACATTTGCTGCTGACATGTATTTGGTTGTGGAATCAACATTTATTATTTTGGGACTTCAGCTAATACAGTTTTGCTAGATTTTTCAGTAGAGATTTTAGGCAATTATGCTTTAAATCCCGTTGATCGGGTATTATGGATAAAAGGGCCCGTATTATAGATGGATGGAAGTTCTCACAAATTGCAAATTTTACCAGTTTCTCTTCAGAGATTTTTTTTCAGTAGAGATGACAAAGGTTTCATAGATAGTATTGCAGTTGCAGAAATTTTGCCAAGTTTACAAGAGTTTCCTAAATGCTGAAAATGAAAATAAATATTAAATGGAGTTTAAAGCCTCTGGAAAAACTTTCTCAGTTCATTGTGGTTAATAAGCTTAAATATTTTGCTCCTGTACATAAAAATGTATCAAAATACACCTACCCTCTCCAGCAGCATCTTCTAAGAGTTTTGGTTCCCATTTGAAAACGCTTAAGCATGTGTGCTTTATTTTTTAATAAGGCTGTTTGCAAAGGCATTGTAGAAAAAAAAAATCTGTGTGATTAGGGAACAGTCTGCTAACATTTATGGCTCTTTGACTCCCTGTTCTAGCACAGCTAAATTCACACAAGAAAATGGGTTCTGAAACTGGAGCCTGGTAGGTACATGGGCTTAACCTCAATACACCTGAGATTTAAATTTGGTTCTTCCTGTCCTTTGTGGCTGCTGATGCAACCTTGATAGTCCYAGGATTAGTTGTCAACTCTGCTGCTAATGGGCCGAAAGAACAGGCTGTCTTCGTGCCTTGCCAGGGGGTGGGCACTGGATTTGGGGTGTAAACTGTAGCATAAGCTGCCTGTGCTGAAGTCGGAGCCATTGGTAAGTGGCTCCCCCACCTTCATTGGGAATATTCTTGTGCCTGGAATCTGTTGCATCCAGCTGGTGTGATGGGAGCCAGAAGAGCTGCTGGATGGGAAAGCATCTTGGAGAAATATTACTGATGGGRAGATGTTAAGAGTCACTTYGTGTTTGTTTTTTGTTGTTTGTTTTTATACRCTTRGTTAATTTGAGTGACTCTTCACAGGTGCATAAGAGGTCCTGGTCAGGAGAGCTTCCAGTTGCTGTGCTGCAAGTATAAGTTGGAGGCTCCTGTAGTACTCATTGGAAAACTGATTTTAAAATGAAGCAACTGATCATAACCTGTTCTAAATTTGGGTGCCCAGTCTGATTGCAGGGAAATGACTTGATAACTTTACGTGGCAAAAGGTAAATGGGGGAAAAAGAGCTTTGCTGCTTCGGTCGACCATTTTTTTCTCTTTTAAAGCAGTTGTGAAAATAGTGATATTTACATACACAATCTGAACTTCTAATTTTCAACTACAAGAATTCATAGTAGCCATCACTATTTTATTTTGCATAAGTTCCTCCACAAGAACATAGTGCTTCATGCTTTGCAGTTAGGCTTCACTGTTAGTGGCGAGAGCAGGACTCACCTGAGCCCTCAGTCCCCTGAACTCATGTTCCATCCTCTGCGGGAAGTGGAGAGCTGTTTCTGGATAAAGATTAGAGGAAAAAGGAACCCATGGAGATGGTAGTTTTCAGAACTAAGACCATCTTTGGGTATGTGGAAACTGAATTAGCTTGTGAAGTAGCTTGTGATTTGGCTGAAACATAGGACTTCAACAAAAATGACAAAAGGGAGAGGGACAGCAGAACATCTTATACRCTTGACTGCAAAGAGAGACAAAGAAATGGGGTGCACATTCATGACTTAACAGGTCGACAGATAAAGTGAATCTTGCCTCCATGATTAAGAAATTAAATTTGTTCAAAGCAGTAAGGTTTGAATAGAAGTTGTATTGTTTTAGCAAGGTCAAACACTACATCTGAGACTTCCTGTTAGAATGAGTCTACCCTTCTAGCTGAGACTTAATTTAGTTAAAGCTGGACACAAAATGAAAAAATTCAGCTGGTACAATTTACACCTCATCTAGTCTGATGGTCTTGTTAGTGTGAAGTGCTTCAATACCAACCCACCCTCCTTAATAAATTAGCTGGGACTGTTTCATAATTTGATAGTAGAAGAAAAAAGGTGAGAAAATTTGTAGAAAAGAAGCTCACATGTTCACAGGGATGTTAACTGAGATAATCATCCTAGGAAAGTAAAAGGAGAACAAAYTTCCCCAAACTCAGCATAAAATAGAACTTAGCCTTTTTTTCCCCCCTTTATAATTAAATTCTACTAAACTGATTAAGTTTTACATACTTTCATCTCTCTGACCTCCAYTTGGAAGTCTGCTCTATCTTTTCATCTATTCAGTGCTTCAAGCCGTGTCCTTTCACCTTTCCTTGATGTGTCTTGATAAAGAAAATATTGAAAGTGATAGGGTGCATTCCGCAAACAACTCTGGGATTGTGGCAGTACGTATCCTGTCTGTGAGAGTTTCAGTAACGAAGTAAAGTTGTAAAAGTGTATGGGCAACATGTGAAAGTGTCCRTCAAGAGACAAGATACATAGCAGTGTGAGAAGAGATTTTTCTGATTCTTGGTATATTTGTAAGTCCTGCAGAGGAAGACTTTTGGGAAGTCAGATACATTGTATAAGAGAAAGTTGATGCTCCGCRAGCTGTTCACCTTGGTATTCCTAAACCTGGAAAAGCTTACAGTATGATTAGTTTCATTTGATTATGTTAGAATAATACAGTAGGACCAAATTCAGATTGACATAAAAATGTAGATCAGATGTGCATATTCTGTGGATAGGTATACTGCTTTTTGTTTGTTTTGATTCTGTCTTTTTTTTTTTTGAGCAGTGGAATTCCTTTTATATATAGTTTCATAGCCACATAGAGGAACCACACACTGAATTTATAGTTGTCTAATGGTAAGAATTATTAACACTGCAAGTTGATAAATTCAACCAAGTCATTTGACTCACTCATCATTGGAAATATATCCTGAAGGAGTGGTCTRTGTTTTCCAAACAATAGCAATTTGGGAAGTAAGGTCAGCACAGTCTAGCCATTGAACTTTACAGAATATTTTGATTCAATTAATATGATTTAAACTGTTTTCACTCTTCAGAGAATAGTTTACATCTTCATTAGCAGGATAGTGTCTGTATTGTGTGTATCCAGTGGAATATTCATCTCAAGTACAGTCTAGGCAAAGTGCATCAACACACCTCTGACACAGTTAAATTACTGGGAATTTTGCCATGGGCTTGAATGGGCTAGTACATGAGCTGATGGGACGACCCTGATTTAGAAAAATTCTCACTGTTGAGAATTAAGTATACTTGCTGTCTCCCAAGATAGTAATTGTGAAATCCTGCTTGAATAATAGAACTGGTATATGTGAGGGAGGTTGCTTACAAATGCTCAGAGATGCAATGAGATATTCTTACTCATTGGACCTGGTGAGTTACTCAGCTACAGTAACACATTCACAGAAAGACTGTCAGTATTTAAAGGAATTAGATCCATTTTTTTAATGAATGTTTGGAAAGGTAAACATTTTTTTAATGAATGTTTGGAAAGGTAAACTATGGATAGACAAAAAGTAAGTACCCTTTTTTTTTAGTGCATAATCTTGAATTATGTTTTACATTTCTTGGGTTAGGTATTGAAGGAGTCTTGTTCATTTTTGAAGCAGTTTGATGAAGCTTTTGAGGTCTATGATTATTTGAAATGCCATGTGTTAGGTGGAAGCTGTCTAACTGCTTTCTATCAGAAAGATGCTTTCAGTTCACCTCTTAAAATGAATGTTAAAATATATAAGTTCCTTTTTGTTGGCATTTGAAGTGGTGAGCAATTAACTCCTTAAAAAATTTTAAATAATAATYAACATTCAGAGATTCTCAGCATTCTTTTTTCCAAGATTTTCATACATATATTTCGCAGTGAAGTCTTCAGTGGAACTACTTTAATAATAGCTGGATTATGTGTTTCCTGTTSATCATCATCACCATCACATATATGACTTAGGAAAAGGTATTCAAATAAAGAGAGCCATATACCACAATAGTAAATTTGTTAGTGTTTCTTTTGTAATTGTTGAATGATACACTAATGCAATTTCAGGGCTATARTTTTTAAAATAAACTACCTGATCATTTTACACTGGTATGAATATTAATACTAGGGAATGACAATTCTATTTTCATGTCAAGATTGCTTCAGTGGATTGAAACCAATGCTTCTTAAATAGCTTTTCCAGAAAGAGTTGGCTTGACATCTTGATTTTATGACCAAAACGATTAGGTTTCAAATTAGGGTTTTGTAATGTGACTCTAAAATCCATGCAGCATCAGCAAGGGAGAATTGAATAGGACTTCAAACATTTTATACTGCCTGTAGTGTTAGCTCTTTTTTTTTTCTTTTTTTCCTCTTTTTCACTCTCTGTGAGTGAAATTCCATACAAGCTTTGTTTTACCCAAACCTACCTTCCAAAAAATAGTGTTTGAATCCAAATTGGCTAAGCAGCATGAGTTGTCACTRTTTCCTCTTGCATGCTGCAAGACAGTTAGCTTATCTGCCCTMTCAGACTTCTAGATTAAGTAGATCCAGTTTCTTTACATTTTTTTTCTCATAGAATTTTTAAGATTTTCTGTAAAACAATGAAAATGGCAAGGCTCTCTTATTCCATGCTTATTTTAGTTAAGTAGTGAGTGCGAGTGCTCCTAATGTATGGTGGGAGCCTGAGTGCTCACTTAAAAAGTCATTTGTTGCAGGGACAGCTCATGCATATATGTATTTCCCAGTGCAATAYTGCTGATAGCTATTGCAGTAGCACAAATGCCAGGGGATCAGAGCCTGTCAGCACAGATGCTGCAGAAGCACTTCTRCTGTTCCTTCAGAGAACATTGGTTTTATGCATAGTTACTGAGATAAAAGTATATATTTCTGCCTTATTTAATGCAAAAACTATGTTATAGCTGGTTACCRCTAACCTGACATAACAACTAACCTGACGTAACAGAAAGATACTTAGTAATACAACACATTATTTTAACACTCTTAAAAATAAGCACAATCATCTAGTTGATGCTTTTGATTCAGTTTTCTGCACTGTTCCAGTGTGAATCAGTGCCCTTATGTCCATTTTACTCCATTTAAGGAGTAAGGATGCTGCAAATGCTGTTCCCCAAAACRTGCCTCCTTTTCTGACGACTTCATGCAGATCTCATCCGCTGCTGTAAAGCAGCTCTGAGTATACATCCATTTGTCAAACTTGCCTTCGCCTTTAAAGAGGTAATAGGGATTTGAAATAACCCTAAATAAGTAAYAGAAATTCTCAATAGGATTTTTACTTTCGTGTTGGGCCGTTGAAATGTATATTGAGTGGTGGATGAGCACAGAACTGTGRTTTAATTTACATAGTCTGAAGGAAAGCAGAATAAATGGCAAATGTCTTTTCTTAATGGTTTCTAGCTTTAGACAGTTACACAAATACACAGTTACATTCTTTTCCCCGTTGTAGCAAGCACATGTTTATTTTGAAAATCCTTTTAACAAATGGAGAAGTTGAATGTATTGTGATCTTACACCGGTTTATGTAATTTTCTCATGTATTGGGATTACTTTTGAATGAGGGTGCGGCTGTAAAAAATCTAAATCTRTATCAACTCATTCACGTAGCTGGCCTATTGTAAACGATCTACTAAAAAAACACAGTTATCTGTTAACTTTCAGACATTGGTTGTTGTTTCTTCCTTACAGTTCCAAAAGTATCTGGCTCATAACATTATATACGCTAATAAAACCTAATTTGAAAATCCCTCTGTTTTAACAGGTGCTTTTTTTTCCCTCTTCCAGTTCAAAAGCCAATTGGAGAGCCTTTTTATAGTATTTAAAATATATAAAAGTGTTTTCACCAAGATCTATGCAAGCAATAGAGCATTACATAACATGGGCATATTTTCTGTAAGTAATTCAACCACACTTTTTTAGAATTTACAAACTGGTACAATCATTTTGGCTATACCTACTTGYCTTGTTAAGAGAGAAAAAAAATGCCTTTTCTGCTTTTTCATATTACCGATTAGGCGCAAAGCTACACAATAATATATATCCACATGGAAGCTGTATGTACAAATGAATGTTTATCTGGCTGTTGATTACCTCCAGCTTGGTAAATATGGGGAGTCTGTTCATTTTTGCTGTAACCTGACTGAGGTCACTGTCACTGTGATAAGAAAACAATTTCTCTACCACAACAATGTAGAGTTTGTGTGTCGGTACTTTACAAGGATAATAATGTGTAAGTGTTCAGATGTTCATTTTCTAAAAACAATGAAGTAATAGGCATTTAAGCCAGTGTCTCAACTGCAAAATTCCTTTCCTGTAAAATTTTACAATCACATAATGAAACTTAAAAGATGTGTTGTGCTGACATGCAGACAAATCTTTATTAAAGTAAATTTCCTGTTTTCCTACTCCAAAAAATCATAATTCCAGGACACTTTAATTTTCCTTTCTTTGTTTTTCAAATGGTTCTAAGACACGTTACACATCGAACAAGTTTAAATCCCCGTTCAGCCAGGCTTTGTATTTTAAGGATAGGGCAAAAAAGCTGTGCCCTCAAAGTAACCTTTAATCTTAATTGTATTGTTAGCAGCCAGTGTGCTGGATAACATAATGCAGATGCCGAGGAGAGGTTTAGGAAAGCAAATGTGGGGAGAAAAACTGAAATGTTTCCAGTTTTAGAGTCGATGTTTTTAGCGGAATAGAGGTCATGTTCTGTAGAAGCCCTCCACAAAAAAAAAAAAAAAAAAATATGAAATGCCCTCAGATATTCATATATATAAATGTGTTTGTATGTCAATACAGACTGTGGTGTATATTCCCTTTTATTCCATTTATTTGAGTGGACAATATTCAAGCAACACTTTCAGCTTTGTTTCTTTCAAGGCAGCCAAATATAATGTTTATCAGCATATAAAAAAAGTCTGTATGCATATGGAATTTAGCAAGCTACTGTACCTATTTAGTACATAAAGATTCAGCTCCCAGTTTCTGCAGAGATTCAGAAACTTGCTTCTCCAATCCAGGGGTATGTTTTCTATCCAAAATTTCAGTTGATTTTGCCTCTCCCATCTTGGATACTTAACCATCTGTTCAAAGTCAGCATGACATCCTTTAACATTTCCTTGTGAGAGCTGCATCTCTTGGTCCTTGTCTGATCAGTGTTGACAGTAGCATCATTCTCTCTCTTGATCCCATTAGATGTCATCTGTACTCCAATTTTATTGCAGGTTTTTCCATCCCAACTCTTACTTGTTTGCCATTTAAGATTTCATATCTCTTCAAAGTGGTCCTTCGAATACAACTTTTTCTACCAGTTCATAACAATCTGTTTGCCTTTGTGCACYTCTTGGCCCTCTTAACAAAACCATGGCATAAAGCCCTTCTTGAATAAAGCATGAGGTGTGTGTCTTGCATGTGTCAAGGTCTTTTACAATGCTTCACTTTTTTTCATATTACTATCAGTCCAGGAAACCATTGTGGTGATTCTGAKGCTTAAACTTTCAAAAATAAAACAAATGTTGGGCCTTACAGCTCAAAGCCATCTCAGTCCTGTTATGTCCAGCATCTTGTCTGGGTCACCTCATGCTCCAGCCAGTCTCCTCTTCCTTGATGTATGTTCCCTGCCTCCATGAAGGGACATGCAGCTTCCTGCTTAACATGTGGGATCCTGCATTCCCCAAGATATTGGTATGCACAGGCAGGTGTTTCACAACTTGTAGCCTGTTTGTAAAGCACCTGCAGAGAGGAGGCAAAAAAAMCCCAACCTGGTTATGGCTCTTATAGAAACTATTATTTCAGTATAATGTAGGCAAAACCAACATTTCCTTCTACTCCCCTTGTATTTATCTGTTCTGTATTTGCAGACAGTCCTAGTGTGTGCAATAGGGATGAGAGATTCTGACTTACTCTTAAGAAAACAGATTAGGGTGTGTTGTAAATTTACATTGGCTTTAGGAAACCAAATATTAGGCTAGAAGATTGTCTACAAATTATAATCCAGCTCGCAAGCACTGCACAAYAATATCTTATGAAAGGGACATTTTTCATACGTTATTGTGGCATACACACAGATCACTTGCYACTGAAATGTCTGTCTTCCATTTGTTTCCCAAAAAAAAAGCACCTAAGACACATAAAACAGAGGTTTACGAAAAGGCTCTTGGAGAAAGGACGATGTTATAATGCTAACTGAATATAGGACTAGTGTTCTTCCTTCTTGTGGCCTTAGTGCTACTTAATGATCATCAAGCAAAATTGATACATGTGTACAAAGATGAAGAAACCTTTTGGAAAGGGGAAGGATAGAGGATGACTGCAATATAAGAGATTTCTTGTATTATTGTGTAGATGAATGTGTAGATGTATGTACATGAAATTAGACAAATTTCACATGCATGTGTGAAGATTTGTCTTCTGTCTTCAGAGTGAATCAAACCCCCAAGGAAGTCTTTATAATAAGATCAGTTTTAGCAGTAACATGCCAGATCAGAGAAAAYGTCTCTTTAAACATAAATTACATACATAATTTAGTCACAAGTTTTCTAAGCCATTTTAGATTGCCTTGTCTGATGTGAAAACACTCATGCTTCTATTCTAGGAAAGTTTCTGTATGCCTGAAGGGTAGTGACTTAGGGTAAATATTAACCTAAACAAATCCTTTCAAAAGAAAGTTAATTGGAACATGTGTGTCTCTCCTGTTTRTAGTGGTGTGATAACACTCTTCAAAAAAATGCTGTTTGGATTCTATGAATGATTTTGCATATTTTTCAAATGAGAAGAAAAGCTTTCAGCCAAACTGGTCTGCAGTCAAGAAATAGCCAAAGACTTGCAGTGTCTCTCCTTATTATCTTATGATCAAGTCAATGACATCACTGTTGGTAGGGCTGAGATTGCTRTGTATGTCAGTGTCATTGAGAGCTTTGCCAAGCTTATTTTCCATGGGCTGAAATTATCCATACAGATGGTCTACATTAAATATTTTAATTGTCTGAAATTTTAGTCAAAGCATCATAGCTGTTCTTGGCACTTTTGTTAGGGATAGGGTGTGTGGTGGTTTTTTGTTGTTGTTTTTTAAACTCTAACAATATTTTCTGTGGGAATTTTAATTGTTTTCATTCATAGGCTTGAGTTGTAATAGAAAAAATGAGGGGAGCTGGCTAAGAAGTGTGTGTGGGAGAAAGTGCTCTTCCAGAAGATTGTAGGAAGGAACAGAAAATGATGGATAAGAAAATGGAAAAGTGGTGGAAAGAAAATGATGAATAAGTAGGTAGATTGGTCAAGGTCTCTATCCCTACGTATCAAGGTAGATTGATAGGTCAGGGAAGAAACAGGGATAGCAAGAGACAACAGGAGTCTAAGCATTTAGACATGTCCCTTTCCAGAATTTAGAACTGAATCTAGGAGGCACCGTGCCTCTTCACCATTGCTTTCTTGACAATAATTGTGAAATAAGTGGCAAAGTTTGTTTCTTGTTTTCTTCCAGCACTGGTTAATCAAGAGGAAGTAGAAGACTATGATATCATGGTTAAGAATGGTGTTGCAGCTTCTACCACTGCAATGAGCTCCTGTGCAGAGCTGAAGTCCCTTAGAAGTGCTCACGAAGGAGGATAGAGCCAGCGTGTTCATTTTCTGTGTACACCAGCTTGTCTGTGGCTTATCTGATAAAAGGAGCATATCTTGTAGAATACCTGAGCATTCACAACTGTTGCAAGTTTGTTTTAGACATATAAAGAACCTGAGATGAGTTGCTGTAAATTGTTGGGTGCCTCTAGCTTGTGTGGCCAAATTTACTGAAGTATAGAGTGAGGAAATCATTCAGCTCAGGCGTGTTGTGGAGACACAGAATCATGTGAAATACTTAACCAGGGATGTTTAAGGGAAGCCCATGAGGACTTTGTGTTTGCACATGCTTTGAAGTTTGGACAGTGCACAGTTAGCAGGCTGTATGAGGTGGATATAGCTGGGAAAAAATGAACATATATATGTATATATGAGATAACAGATATATGATATATATGAATGCTTCATATATTGTTAGGCCTGGCATGTAGGCATATATACGATGCCACCTCTCCTGATCTGGGCAAGGTGATTTGTGGGAGCTGAATATTTGTTTTAATGTAGGTACTACCAGTTTACTTCTCTCTCT